TGGGGGGATGGGGGCGACTGTGCAGGGTCGGAGTGGAAGAAGACTTTGTTCTCGCGGCAGAGCTGGCCGATCTCGCGGACGGGCTGGATGACGCCGATCTCGTTGTTGACGTACATGACGGAGACGAGCGCCTGTGTGAGGTCCGGCGAGGTCCGGCGGTGGGGAGGGGGTGCGGAGGGGGTGCGGCACACTCGAGGGCGAAGGTGGCCGCCGGCCCAAGGGGGCAGGAGGGGAGAGGGGCGGGGAGGGGAGGGGAGGGGTCGGGCGGGCTTGCGGGCCGGGGCGGGCTTGTGGGCGGGGCGGGCTCGGTGGGGCGGGCGCTCGGTGGAGTGGCGGGAGGGCGCGAGCCGTGTCTGGCCGGATGAGAGAGCGGAGCAGCTCGAGGTCAACCAGCCCGTCTTGCTTGACGGGGAGGTAGTCTACCTCGAAGCCCTCCTGCTGCAGCACGCGGCACGAGTCGAGGACGCACTTGTGCTCCGTCTGCGTCGTGATGATGTGCCGCTTCCTGCGGCGGGGCGAGGGCGGCCGTCTTCCCTCTGAGGCAGGAGGCGAGCCGAGAGAGGGCGCTGCCGGGTGAGGGCGAGCGCGCGGCTTGTGGCGGCGTGGAATGCGAAGCGCACTTCTCTCCGTAGAAGTGGGCGATGCCCTTGATCGCCATGTTGTTCGACTCGGTCGCGCCCGATGTGAAGACAATCTCCTTGCTGTCCGCGCCGACGAGGCTCGCCACCTGCTCGCGCGCCGCCTCGGACGCACTCTCCGCCTCCCAGCCGTACTCGTGGGTCTTCGAGTGCGGGTTTCCAAACTGGCCGGACAGGAAGGGAAGCATCGCATCCAGCACGCGCGGGTCCATCGGGGTTGTCGCCTGCGACGGGCACGGTGGGTTCGAAAGGCACGCCCCCAGCCTCACGGGCGGAGGCTGACCTGCGAGTCGAGGTAGATGGCCTTGCCATCCCGGCTCTGCCCGGCGATGCTCATCACCGGCGCGGTGGACAGCCGTCGCGTGCCGCCCAGCCGGCCGGGGGCCACCCAGCGGGAGAGGCGCGCGGCAGCCATGTATGTGTGTATCGCGCGGCGATCAGGCAAAAAGAATTCTGCGCGCGCGTCCTCCCATATCAACTGCTGGGTAGCCACCTTTGGCGACAGCTGCGCCGCGGGAGGGACCGAGGCGACCGCAGGCACGGGACGTCGCTGGACCGGCGGCTCCGAATACATGTCGAGGTCAGAGCTAGCCCGTGGTTCCGCAGCCGGCGCGTGCGATTGCACCATGTACTGCATGCACAGATACCAGAGGCTGCACGCCACCGCCGCAATGATGAGCAGCCGCCTCGGCGGCCGGGCGGTAGATTTGGGCGGGTGGCGTGGGTGGTGAGCCTCAACGTCATCCTCACGCCGCGGCGAAGGGTAGTGATGCCCTTTTCGGGAGAGCATGGTG